TAATATTATTTGCGGATTATTTGCATAATGAGTTTTCTATAATAGATGCAGAATAATCGCGAATTAAATATTGTTTATAGAAAAGAATGGATTATTTTTAGAAAATTTTTCAATTCTACTATATATATAGTAGATATAGTAGTAATTAACGATAACATATTAATGAAAAATACGATATCGAATTATTATTTAAATCAATATATCTATATAGGATATAATTAAAAAAAAATATATATATTTTTAAATAAAAATTAATTAAAAGGACAAACAATCCAGATATCATATTTATATCGCTTCAATTTATTTTAAAAACAACCTCAATATAATAGTAAGTTGTAACGAGACAACCGAGGCCTTTTCGTGACTTCTGACAATCTTCTCAGCCTGACCTCGAGAGAATTTTTAGATAAACGTTTTCAAAGGATAATATCTTCGAAGGAATAACACAAAACTCTCGGGTATAGTAATTTTACTTCTTTCCCTCCCTCCTCTCTCACTCCCGCTCTCCTTTATGAGATGAATACTATTAACATTTTTCGAGACTCATATAGTTGTTTTTAAGTTTATGAATATTTAATTTAATACTTCTCACGTTTTTCGACAAAATTCTGTAACCATACTTAAGATATGTAAATAATGATGATCACAGTTTCCAAGTTTATACAATGTGCCAAAGGTAATCCTGATTTTAAAGATTATATCATTGTTAATGTCATGCATCTCATTGACTAAATATAATTTAGATAAATTCGATATATTGAGCTATATTATTGTCAATATTAACAAAACTGGATAACCTTTACTCATACTTTTAGAATTTGTGATCGGAATTTTGTCGATGTTCTAGAAAATGTACAAAAAAAGAAAAAAGAAATGCCTAAAATAATATATTTTAAGACGCGATAATAGAATTTTAATCAACCAATTCCAGCCCTCGTCGTATTTTTTCCAAGTTTATAAAAATCAAATTAGATATCGATCTATCTCTTTTTTTTCCTCTCTCTCTCTCTCTCTCTCTCTCTCTCTCAGCATAAATTAATACAGAAAGTCATATAAATTTGGAATTATTGATCAGATCTTTATGTATTTTTCTGTTTGATTTACAAAATCGTCTAAAAACTACGATGAATAATATGTTATTGTCATAATGCCATTAGTTATCTGTGTATGCAAAACGATAAGAAAAACTTGAAAAAAATTTTACAAAACATTTGGAAGCAGAATTTTTAATCGACGAAATTCTCTTGATTTTTCCTTTTTTTAATCGCTCAACAGATAAACGTTATTTTTATTTTTCATTGTAATTCATTAATGCTTCCTCACAAAAACATACGTGTTTCAAACATTTTATAATAAAGATAATAAAGAATTAAGATAAAATGGAAAATCAGTAATTATGAAGTAAAACGAATACGACACCATTACTTTCGCTGATCGATTATCAACATGCTACTAATCGCCATTTACACTGCGGCTCGGTATATGATAAAAAAAATTACTCGATAATAACAGGAATATGCGTCCGATAAATGAAGTTTATTATGCGAATATTCGTAATAATATTATTTACACAATCGAATATTAATAATAAATATATATTTCATATACAATTATATATCTCGCGTAAGTATATGTATTATATTAATATAATATAATTGTATAATTTCTGGTCTTACGTATAAGTCGTATAATTCATATTCCTTATAGACATAATAAAAAAAATATCTCTTATATAATTAAATATATTAATATATGTAATAATATTCCTGCGCAAACAGAATTTGGCTACCAACTGCGATTTATTTATTTTTTCATGTTACTTATTATCAATTTTAATGCCTGTGATTTGGTCTTATTACTGTTATATAAGATAAATAATAAATGCTATGTCATCAGATAAATTATTCTTAATATCTGACATTTAATGTTGTTATTAAAAAATTTGACCAAATGTTAAGAAGAAGGGAACGGCAGATTCGTGCAGGTGAAGAAAAAAATTAGACAGTGACGTTGGTAATAACAATCGAGAGAGGAACATCGTTTTATGGTGAAGGATTCATCAAACTGTAAATAAGCTAACTAACGGAACAATCATAGGCTCGTAACATACAACTCATTGCGAAAAACAAGCCTATTTCTGGATTGTACGATCGATCGTCAAAACCTAAAAAGGAGTTTCACGGGCATGGCGTACCTATCTTAGAAAATTGTTCACTTTCCTAATTTCCTAATGCTAACATTCCTATATTCGCTGTCTCGAACTATGGTAAGAAGATAATTATCTGAGTTAATTAAGTAACACGATGTGTTACGCATAATTGAATTTTTTATGTAACGTAATAGTTTTATTTTTATATACGAGTATAATCATTATTATTATTTATATATAAAAAATACCATTTACACGCATGATATTTCATGTATCTAATCTCAAAATATTTTTTTCACCGATAAAAAAATTATTTAGATATGTCTGATTTTTCGTGAGTCACAAGATACTTTAATTGTTTTCAAAAATATTTATAAAAAATAATAAGAAGAAGAATATGTATAATTATATTATAAATAACTTTGTGTTATTCTATCTGTTCAATGCAAACGAATGATGAGATTAAATCTTTGATGAGATGAACGTACGATGGAAGGTCAACGGTATGTCGATGCAACGAAAGATATTTTTATTTCAAAATTTAACAGGTTTGTATACGTATATATATATATACATATATTCACGCACCTATGTAAGTATTTACTTACAAAACGTAGAAGTGAAAGCAATGCAGCCAAGTGAAAGTCAAATTTACTACAATATCCTTCGTCTCTGAGATCTTGCGAACGTAATTAATCAAGAAAAAAGAAAAAGAGAGAAAGAGAGAGAGAGAGAGAGAGAGATTAATGACGATGATGATTCTCAAGAATCTTTTTCTTAAGATCGTGTGATTTTCTTACCACGCTTATTACAATCGTTAGCTAACAAATCGTATCGCATATTTTAAGTATGAGTAAGAAAATGAAACAAATATTTGTCATCTTTATTTTTTCAATCGTTATTTAATAAGAACAATATTTACACGAAGTTGTGATATGATTTAGAAACTTTATTTGCTTTGCATGATAATTTTTATATATTAACATAAATTTACATAACGAATTGGTCTTAACTAACATAATATCTATATCATCGTGTTTTCTTTCTAATCTAATTAATAATAAGACGAATTTTTCTTCTATATTCAGAAAGAGATTCTACTGTTTTCTATCAAGAAAGAATTATAACAATTTACTAAAAAACTGTTCAATTATGCAATAAATTATCCATTGTCGATCTGTAAACAATCGATTAACCAGATAACTCACACATTGTTACGTTACGTATAATAATAGTAGCATCAGATTGATATAGTCAGACAAACAAATTAATTGTTTTCAGTTTCTTATTTCGAGTTCCTGTTTACGTACTAAGAATAACGATCGAATTTTCTTTTTCGTTTGTAATCAAAATATGATCGTTTTTTTTTGTAACACAAATTAAAAATCTCGTGTAATAATTTTACAGCAAGAAATACAAATAAATAAGAAAAAAAATGTTTTAATTAATACGATTTTACTTTTACAATCAGTGTTGACTCAATGATTTTAATCGATCGTTGGAAAAGTTTGCGAAAAACTTAAAGGGGGACGTTTCAATGGGAAAACCCAAAAATGGTCAGCAATACCTCTATCGATAGTCGTAACGAACTGGTTCGCGATTTTAATTAAACTGGTGAAAGGAAGTCGTACGCGATTTAAAAAGAGAAAGATAAGAAAATTATTTTCGTATAGGAAATTTATATTTAAGGAATTAGAATAAAACCCGAATAATATTTATTTCAAACGAGTCGATATAAAATTGTAACTAATACGAAACTAGGAAGAAAAACAAACCGATTTTCGTTGCCACTTAAAGACAACTTTTTAACAATAACTGCATTTATGGCAGATAAATAAAATTATATTACGTATAATCATATTCTCTGCGTATATATGAATACTAAAATTGGTATACTTTCTAAACTAGATTTGGTGAATTCGTTCGATACCCATGTAATAACGATAATATAATTACAAAACAAATAAAGTTTTTCTACGTAGAGGATGGTTAAATACAAAACCCGAGTTCAATAAACGTTTACTAATATTTTTAAATCAACTTGAACGGGAAAATTTTTAAATATATATTTAGATAAATAAAAATAAATTTACGTCGCTTTAAATTCTAACGTCTATATTTTAGAAATTAAAAAATTTATTACTCAATTAATTATACGATGTACCAATACGAATCCTTTCTTATTTTAATTGTTAATACAATCTTTAAATATAAAACGCGAGATGATAAAATATAAACATTAATATTTTTGGAAGTGTAAGAAATGTGTATCTAATGAGAGAACAACAAATTGAAAAAAGAAACAAAAAAGAAAGAATAACAATAGCACAACCAACAACGATATAATAGAATAATAAATACATAATATGTATATAGAATTTGAAATCGTAGACGATCGGTTAAAGGTAGGAGAGGAGAATGAGGGGAGTGAGACGAGTGGGGGTGGAGTGGGGGTGGAGGGGTAAGGCGCATTCCAAAGCAACTCACTGACGTCGCTGCGATCGCTAAAGAGATCTCACCAGAACCCCACGGCTATGCACGGGGTCCGCATTCCACCTGTCAAAAGGTGGGTTCCGTACTCTCTCTTTCTTTCTTTCTTTTCTCGATAAATAAACAAATTTCAATAGGAAAAATCATTGAAAAATGTATCATATATAAAAAAAAAAACCTTCATTTAAAGTAATCGAAAAAAAATCAACACGTCATTTCAAAATATACGTCCGAAAATTAAGCGTTCCAATATGGCAGGTGCACCGTTCTCTTGTTTTTTCGATCTAGCGCGCGCATATATATATATATATATGTATGTATGACATACGAATAACAACATTGATAAATAAAACACACATACCTGAAAATTTGTGGACCATTTCCCAATGAAAAAGATCTGCGTTAGAATTTATTCGATGTGTGTTGATTTGATGGAGAACATTAACGTGATGTTAACAGGTTTAGACAGGACGACAAATACTTGTGTTTCTCTCTCTCTCTCTCTCTTTCTCTCTCTTTCGAATTGAATAGCACGCGCGAACTGGACCAACGTAAGATTATTTCTTAGGATCACTCGCGTGGCACGATCCTATTTCCATCGAGTTTTCTTTGAGCGTTCGCAAGTTAACGACACAGAACGTTATACCGTAATAATTTAGGAATAAGTTACGAAGGGTATCATAACTAACGCGTCTTGAAAACAAGCGACGAAACGATTCGAACGGCGTTCGACACGGCAACATAACTGGACACCGGTTGGTAGGGGAACTGAACCGAGAAGGAACCAGTGTTAGAAAGGGATATTGAGAGGAGAGGGGTATCAGCGGAAGAACGAGAAAGGTTACCAGAGGATGGGGAGGGGAGACATATAGGGAGAAAAAGACTGACCAGGAAGGAGGATGGCCGATAGGCGTCAACTTCACCCATATGAACACACACACACTAACATATTTACAGTACCATACATACATTATATACAAACCTGACTTATATGGACATTCGTGCATAATTGAAATATCCTCCATTGCTCCCTTTTCCCATCTGTTATATAAATGTGTATATATTCTACAGCCTTTTTCATCTCATTGTCAGAATGTTGTTTTCCCTTGCGAGATCAAGTCTATTATCTATGGATGTTTGTATCATCCTATATCTTCTGTTTGTATCTAAATTCAAATCGGAACTAACAATAAGTAAAAAATGTCTCGTCGATTTTCATTAGGTATATATTGGAAAGTTATAAATAAATAATATAATTTATATATTGCAAAGTTGTATCTTCAAGTATTATTATTTACTTCCTAGAAGAGAGAGATTTTCTCATATACTTGAAATCATTTTACATTATTTGTCTCTGTTATTTGTCTGCATTATTTTTTTAACGAAACAATTAATACGAAAGATAATTTACCGAAAACGATTAATTGATTGATAATGCAATTTAAATAAGTATAAGGTTTTATAATATAGTGTATGCCGATTTGAACATCATTTACCGCTCAGGCAATTGAGAAATAAATTATTCTGTGTAATCTTTTTTTTTCTAAGATTATCTTAGGCAATAAAATAATTAGATATTCAAAAATGTTCGCGAGAGTGAAATAATATGACAGAAAAAATGGGGAGAAGAAAGATATTTACGTATACAGCGAAAACAATAGAATGACAAATAATGGAAAATCGAGAATAAATAAAGTGAACGTCATAAATTTATTTAACTTCGTTTTTCTCGTCCTTGAGAGTTAAAGAAGTATTTAAATAGTCATCATCGAGTGCACCGTAAAATTACATAATAATTCCTTTTGTGATTGAGGTCAGTCGCATACTGAAGTATTGCAACTTATGCGTATATGCACATGCATAATATGTGTATGTGTTTTTATATCGTCAATACGTTTTATACATATAAGAAAATAACGAATAAAAAGATAAACTAATCTAATTATCTATAATATATTAACAATGATTATTTGCATATAATATTGTCTTTGTTTGCTATCTCTTTTATGGGTTCGAGTCACTTTTCCATAACACCTTTTACACTTATCCAATACAACCAAGATATCGTGTCATTTTACCAACTCTCTGGAGTCAATAGCATATGGTTTTTATTACTTTGATTTTTCCGAATGGGTCATCCATCCATTTTATTAATCGTGCCCACGTTGCTCGACTTTATTGATCTTTGATGGGAATTACTATTCCAACGTAACTGTTGACTAATATATGTATAATATTGTGCATTTGAATTAACTCAACATTTCGATAATATAACCTCAAAAATTGTAGAGAAATTCGATTAGTCAGGTAATCGAAAATAAATGGAATTCTTTTATAAAGTAGAAGATTGTAAATATAAAAAACAGTAGATTATTGACGATTATATTTATTTATATAAACATAAAATGTCGGTATCTTGAACTCATAATTATTAATAATATATACAACTATGTGTGTATTGACTAGTAGTTCGCCGCGTCCACGTGCAATCAGTCGCACGTGATATACTTATTGTGTACATTAATTAATTCACTGTGCTATTAATTGGTTCTTGATGTAATTTTATGTTTTATTAATATATCTTTTAAATGAATTTCTAGAGTTTGGAAGTTGTGTGAAGTAACTGTTAAAAAGAAAAAACAATTTTCTACAAAATGACAAAGTTTTTGGATTTATTGGAGTTTTTTGATCAAGATCATAAATTATATAACTCCTTTTTGCAAGATTTTTTTGCAACTGGTTATGATTTACCATTTAATTCAGACGAGGTACGAATTTCTTGATTTAATCTCTTTATTTCATGTTTCTTTGATATTCTTTAAAAATATAACCTATAAACAATGTTTTAATGATATTTATAAATGTTTACATTTTTCAGATAAAAGATGTGCATGATGCAATCATATCCACGATCAATAATCGATTAAATGAAGCTGCTACTCGATACAATGGTTTACTTCTATTAAATGCGTATTTAACAAAATGCTCACCTAAGATGCTTTCAAAGTACGGCATGTTATGGATAGGAAAGGCTACTAAAGAATTGGAAGATATTGATAATCATCCTGAACATCTTTCAATAACTTGTAAAGTTATTGGAAATGTAATTACACAATGCAAATCTATATCAGAATTGCAAAAGCAGATATCGATGGAAAATGTTAAACAACTTATAAATATTTTGGATAATCTAGAATCAGTCATTAACTGTGGTGCTACATATTATCTTCTTGCTACTTTATTATATCACTATCCAGAAGCTTGCGAACGTTTACAGGTATGTATTTATTATTATAACAAAATAATGCAGAATCTGTTTTAATTTTGAATTATTTTTACAGACATTAATTAGAAAAATAATATTTCTTCAAATAGATGCTTCTAAAAGCAATTTAGTTAATGCGGGAGCTAAATGTTTTGCTCTTTTAACTAGAACAACAGAACGTTCTTTTAAACCGCCTCCAACAAAGTTATACTATACGTGTTGGACTTATAATCAAGCATTGATATGCAACAGTTTACATGATATAATGGATAGTTTCTTTTCAGATTTATTAGAAACTGAAAGCGTAGACATTTGGGATAAATTGAAGTTATCAAGTATATCGGAAGAAAATATATTTGAATATTATTCTAAACAACAACAAAGGTTTTCCAACTTATGCGTGTACTTATCTGCTATGTTACAGTAAGTATTTTATAATAAGAACAAGAACATATCTTATGTTACGGTTTATTAAGAATATTATTTTTTACAGCGGATGCGAAGAAAGAAATTCTGTCTTACCTAATGATATTTTAAGAATATTATGTCGTGGCTTAGCTATTAGACCTATGCATTTGAAAAAGGAAAATTCTATTAAAGGACAGATATTATATTTTTTTCTTCCCAAGTTACATATTAGTTTATTTAACGTTTTAAGTGCTTTTATAGACGGGTAAATATATAATATACATAATGTTGTACCGAATTAAAAAACAAAGAAAGAATTACTTATATTTTTATTTTTAGATTTAAAAAAGAACTGATACCATATGGTTCGACAATTTTACAATTATTTCATCAAACGTTAAAATGGACAGCAAATGAGTTAAAAGATCAAGAAACAATTAGTAGCAGTAAACCATTAAAAAATCTAAGATTATCCGTATACAAATGTCTCTCACTATGGTTAATAAGTAACAATTCGCTATCTGGCATTGAAACAATCATAGATGAATGTCTTCCTTTTGTGCTTAAAGATATAATTTCAGAAAGAGATCGTGTACTTTTGACTGTATGTTTTTTTCTTTAAATTTATTAATGGCATTTTAAACTGTTATGTTTATACTATTAAATATAAAAATTGAATACAAATTTGAATATTTCATATAGGTAAAAAATACATCCAAAAATTTATCGAGAAAAGCCTTGAAACGTATTAGAGACGGTCAATATGAAAAGAATTCAGCTTTAAATAATACAATTGCAATTAAAAAGAATCCATGTTTAGATGCAGATTTATGCACGGAAGCTCTTATTACTTTACAAAATATTTTATTTTGTAGTTACATGAAATCAACACTTTATATGGTAAGATAAAATGATAATCGTTACTGAAAATTATTTATATAAAATTTATAGAAATATTGTATTATTTTAATATCAATTATTTATAATATTCTAGTATTTTTATTTTGTTTTAGAATATACAGAACGTTGTAATTCCACTTTTGTATGAATATTATCTTGGATCACCTGTACAAACGTTTTATAAGGAAAATACACAATGCCGTTTGCAACTGTTAAGAATATTGAAAGATTTACAATTAAATTCACATGCATCATTAACACCTCCAACGCAATACGCTATAGAAATTTTCGAAATGGCTCTTGACGATGTTAATCTAGATATTGTTCAAGAAGCTCAATGTGCATTATCTGAATTAGAAAAAATTATACATCCTTCCGCACCAACTTTATGCTTACCTAAAACAAAGTAATTTTAAGCAAAAATTTATTCGTTTTTAATATACAAATTTGAAACTAACAATTTATTCATTTTTCAGAGAATTAATAGAGGAAGATGAACTTCGTTCTAATGAATTAAAAGAACAAGAAAGTATGTCAAATGAAGAAATTCTACCACCGTCGAAGAAACGGCCAAAAATAATAGATATTGTCACATTTATTTCCGATGAAAAAAATCATATAGATTCAGGAACTAATATTATAGATAAAGTAACAGATAAATCGATAAGTATAGATAGTTCTAAGTCAGAAGATTACTTGTTACAAGAAAGTAAAAGTATTGTAAATAGAGTACCACTTATAGAAGTAAAAGATATCGAAAAAAATGCTGAACCTGAACAGCAAAATAGTGTAAAAGAAGATCAGATTTTATCAGAAGAATCTGATAAAATAATAGATAGACAATCAGAGCAAACGGAGGTAAAATCGACAAAAACGGATGCTGAGAAAGATTCAAGGGAAGATAATCCTCAACAAGAAGATAATTTAAAATCTTTGGAAGAGATGAAAGATATATTAATGGATAATGAAAAACAAATGTTACTTTGTTTTCAAGACCAACTGAAAGATGAATAAATATAATTGTACAAAATAGTTTTTGTTAATTTTTACGTATAAATGTCGTTCTTAGTGTAATATCAAAATTATTCGTAAAGATTTTATATACTTTAATATATATATATATATATATATATATACTATTAAAAGAAAATTAATAATAATGTTATTTGTGACTAAAAATTACCGTTTTACACTTACAATCTATTTTATCTATTTTCTATTTGAACTCATGTTTACCAAATGTTTGTATACCTACCCATATTTCTATATCCTAATTAATCTATCACTTCGATACATGATATTTGAAACTTTATCCGAATTCGAAAAGCAATATAATGTTCTTCTAAAAAACTGAAAGTGATCGTTATCATGGTATAGAATTAAGTAAAAATTAAGGGGAATTATTATAATCATCAGAAAGATAAAAAATTGATTCATTTTTATACAGATTATTTTTTATTATATCTAAAACCATTAAAAAATGAAGAATTTTTAATAGACTACCAGCAGCAATATAATTAATATTATATTTACAATTCATACGAGTTTTTACTAATTAGTACATTCTTACGTAAATTATTAAAGCTTCTTAATTGCTAGAAATCAAGTTTATTATGCAATGAATCCAGAGAAAACAACGAAGGTAAAATTTAGTGCTGGTTATTATACAGTTTTATACACATCGTAAATGTTTATATAAATATTTTGTTTTATGTCATAAATGTATTTTCATGAATAACATTTATTTGTTCAGGAAATGATACTTCCGAAAATAATACATTTTATTTATTCAGAGAACAATATTATTAAAGATAACATATTTTATTTGTTCGAAAAATTATACTTTTGAAAATAAAATATTTTATTTGTTCAAAAATTCTGCAGTTTTTGAAAATAAATATTTTATTTGTTCAAAAAGTGATATTTTTGAAAATGAAATATGTTATTACTTATAGAAATTGCTTAAGATAGTATTTCATAGGCGTTTAGTTTTAAAGAAACTTGTATTAAAATTTAAAAAACATTTTAGCAGCGTATTATAATATACAAATATTAGAAATTTCAATATTCGCATGTTTGAAAAAAAATGTAATATTTATATATATATAACACTAAACGAAGTTTCATTTTCTATTTAAAATACTATTTTATTTTAATTCTAAAGTATCGCCTCTCTTTTAAAAATATTATTTAATATATTATTTTCAGGAATATTGCCCAGTCGTTCCTGAATTATTTTATTTTTACTTCCTTTTTATACTTTCTTTATTTCCTTCCTTGTTTTTTCTTATTGTAAAAATATTGTAGTAATCCTTTTTAAAAGATATTACTTAAATTAGAAGGAAAATAATTGTAAAATTTTGGAAATATATTAAAAATGTTTCTTTAATCTTTTATGCGAACATTGTCAATTTGAATATAACATTATTACATATGATAATTAAATAGCTATAAATACGAGAAAACAAATGCACACGCAAAAAAGAACAATAAAATATATAAAATACAATAGCATTCGTCATTAATACAGCATAGTAATAATTAACAGATCTTACTAAGTCTTCATTCACTCGAAATATTATATTTATCTCATTTTTTCAATAAGATAAATAACAATATTTACAAATCACTGCTTAACATTGTTTTAGTATGCTGTTTAAAACAATTTACTCGTGATCACAATGAACAAAAAAGAATTGTCTCCTGATAAAAATTACTATACTTTTAATACGTATTAAAAATACTTTCTTTAAATTCGAGGACCGACATATGTTATTTGTTTCTCTTTAAAAAAGAAGATCACGCCATGGATATAGTCTTCGTCTAAATAACGCTCCAATTCTATCTCGAATACCTATTCCGAAAATTCTTTTATGTACCCAAGGAAATAATAAAATAAAAATTGTAATCGGTAGGAATATCTCTAATATATATGATAATATAGTCCAACCGTGGTAGTTTGGACAATTTAACATATCCTCGGCCATTTTATACATAGGTAAACCATCACATTCTAAATTTTCTAGATCTTTATACAAAAATCGTTTTCTTTTGATCAAATGAAGTAACTCTCTTATACTGCAATCACATGTAAATGGATTTCCCCTTAAAGTGAATTTATCTAAAACTCCAGAATACACGTAGCCGAATTCGTCCAATTTAAATTCTGATATATCATTATTATGCAATTCTAATACCTAAAAGTAAAAACAAAAAAACAAAAAGAAAAAATTGTCAAATATTTTCAATAAATGAATTTAAAAATGATAAGATAAGAAGTAACTTACTTTGAGAGTTTCTGGTAATCCATGAGTCGTCATTTTAGAAATATGGTTATTAGATAACAGTAATTCAGTTACGTTCATTGGTTCTAAAACTTGAACTGATGGTATCTCGGGTAACAAATTTCCAGTGAGATTTACTATTAAAGTATATCCTTCTATAGGTTTCACTTTTTTTGGATCGATCAAGAATTCAGACATTTTTCTATGCGAGCAATCTAAAATGCGAGTGTTATCATACAGTCTTACTTTACAAGCGCAACCAGTTTGACAATTTTTACTAATTTTGAAATATTTGTCTTCGGGACACGTATAGGTGTTTGAATCCTGGTATTTAATTATGGGTCCCTCACTTTCATCAGGATTAATACACGATAAATTTCCCAGTTTAAAGTTAAAATAATGGGAATAAAAATTTGGCAGCCTATTTTCACGGAAACGCAAAAGATCGTACAACTCACAATCGCATAATATAGGATTATGATTCATAAGAACGACAATGTTATGATATTGTCTAAAATATTTTTCCAGTGTCTCCTCGTCGTTGAAGAAAATATTTGCTATTTTATTATATGTGAGATCTATCACAAACTTGGATGATGGATATATTAAATCAGTTGTCTATAAAAAAGAAAACCAAATGGAAAAGATAATTGTAGCCAAGATATTTCTTTTCTAATTCCATCTAATCATAATAATTTATTAAAATAACGATACTTAAAATTATGTTTAGATAATAAAATTTGATATTTACCCGAAGGTTTTCTATTTTGTTGTGACTCAAATCTACTAATTGTAAATAATGTCCATATTTTTTCCATTCGATAATTAAATGTTTTATATTATTGTGCGATAAGTGAAATTCTTCGAGAAATAGATTATGACGAAGTGAATACCAATCATTACTATTTTGGAATGTTAGCTTATTACGAGAGAATTTAGCAATCCTTAGAATTAGCATTTTACTTAAAGCCGTTTCTTCGATGTATGATATTTCATTGTTTTCCATATTTAGTTCCGTCAAAAATATCAAGCCGTAAAATAGATCGCTAAAAAATATTCATATTTGAAAATGAATAGAATATATTAATATTTTTTTTTTTTTTTTAGTAATGGTAAAATAGTGTACCTTGTTATAGAAATTATTTCATTCCCGGACAAGTCGAGTTTCTCCAAATTGATCATGTCTCTAAAGATTTTATTAGGAAGAGATTCAATCATATTGTTTTTTATTGAAAGTTCTACAGCATTTTCTAGACCACGGAAGATATTATAAGGTAGAGTAGTAAGATAGTTATCATCGAAGTTGATATATTTTAACGCTACTGATTCCCAAAAAAGTTCTGCTGGTAGAAATGTTAATTTATTATTGTTTAAAGAGATTATTTGAAGCTTAGGTAAATCCGCAAGAAAATAATTTGGCAGAGTTGCCATCATTTTTTTATTATTATTCAAGTACAGTTCACGTAATTCTATATTTTTTTCTAACAATCTTAATGGAAGGGACGTGAATTTATTGAAAGACATATCAAGTATTTCCAATTTTTGCAAATTATAAAAAGCTCTCTCCTTCATGGCGTTTAATTTATTGTTACTTATGTTTAAAAATTTTAATGAAATTAGATCGTCAAATGTTCCAAGTAAGAATTCCTCCAAAATATTGCTGTTAAGATCCAAATAGTTTAGATCACTTAGTTTATAAAATAATCCACCAAAGATCCAATTAATTCTATTGTTTGATAAATCGATTCTCTTAACCACTGGGGTTGAGAAGAAAAAACGATGGGGTAATATAAGTGCATTATTAGATAAATTCATCCACTCGACTCTGTTTTTCTCCCAAAAATAAAGGGACGAAACATTAGTTAAACCGTTATAAGATAAATCTAGTTTTGTGACATTTTGGAATCCTTCAAAGTTCTCCTGTTTTAATGTTCCGTAATAGTTTTTAAAAGAATTAAATATGAGGTTATCTGTTTCTTCCACTCCTAATTTTTTGATCACATCTATTAAGTTAATTTTGTTTGATATTCCACAATTTTGAAAATTCACCGTATCGATTTTCTTTTCGTTTAGATTCATCTTCAAATTAAAGCTTTCCCATCCGTCCCAATCTTTACATTCAATCTGTTAAATTATTATTTCATTTTATTAAAAGATAATAAAAAGTTTATTCATTAAATGACACGTAAGATTTTATTTTCAGAATAAAGTTTCTATTTCCAGATAATTAAAATAGTAGAATTAAATGACATCAAATAAATTATATAAATAATGTATATACCTGAATAAGTTCCTCTGGTTTTATGATGATAACGAATTTCACTTTATTATTAACATAGCAAGAAAATCTTATAACGAGTTCATCCACTGACGCACAATGACACGTTGGGTTATCCGCGCAAAAATGATGAAGGCTGTTGATCGTTGTGAAGGTAAAGAAAAATATCAATAAAGTTATGATATTCATTGTTTTTAAACGATCCACTATAATAGAAAAAAAGAACAAAAAAGAAATAGATTAAATTTTATTCGCGAATACTTCAAATTTAAAATAGATCCGAAGTTTGAAAGAAATTATAAAATATATTGCTCGTATATTAAAATAACGTTTGATAAAGTTCTAATTTATTAGTCTTACTATCTTTGATAAAAATTGTGTTCTATGAGAATCGATACGATTTCACGTAATGTTTCCAGTGATTCAACGAATTGTTTAATAAAATCAAAAAATTTTATTACCGTTTAAATAACGTTGATTTTTGATCCTGTTAATTTGCAGATAATATGATATAAATAATCGATGATGCTATTCTTTAGTAGATGATGTCATGTCCTCGACGAGTGTAATTATTTGACTAAAATTGTATTTCAAGTTCAATGCGCTTTTAAATAAAAATAAAAAAACAAACAGACAAAATTTCTGAACATATGCAAGAAATTCAGAAAATTCAGATTTATAGAGAAAGAAAAAAAGAGACAAAAAGGTGAAATCAAAATCAAAAGCTTATATAACATTTGGATATAATTAATACGACTATTAATTATATACTTAAATTAATAGTAATATAATCTAAGTAATATAATACAATTAAAGTAATAATAAAAAGTATCTTACTCTTGTGTGTGGACAGACAATAAAACTCAGAAATTAAATTAAATAAGTTTTATAATAATCTAATTAAAAGAAAAATAACGTATCTTTGTTCCACTCGATTCAAAATATTAGGTCAAAGTAACGATCTTGCACACGCGTTGTTATTTATCTATAAGCAGGAAGAATAACAGAACTATGAAAATAATTTGTACATATATAAAGCGAAGTACCTTCTCACAAATTTAAATTAACGACCCTGAGTGTTTGCTAATATCCTTTTTCATTTGATAGTACCCTATAAATAGTTTGTTGTTTGAAAATTAAATATTTTTCGGTTACAATGAACGTTATAGTATACAAATAAATATATCTGATGAGTTATCTTACCAAATCCATTGGAAGATCACGAAATTTTTTGAATATGCATATAGATAAATAAATATTACAATATATTTATACA